GTATTGGTCTTCCCAGTCACCATTCCCCCTTCGTCATCGTCACCTTCATCCACCAGGCCGAATCTCTGCGCATCGTCTCGGGCAACACCCAACTGGTAATATTCTGAGGTAACCGCCGTAGTCGTGGGGATCGGTGGTGAATTTGTCCGCTTAATATGGGCAGCCGCGCTCTGCGTATTGGGGTTTGTAGAAGCCGAAGACCAGCCAGCTGCGCGGAATCCTGGCGTGTTGAGCACGGTGTTGTTCACGTTGATAAGCCTATCGCCTATGCCGTCCTTTATGGTCGACAGATAGGAAGTGCGCAACTGCCAGATTGTGAAACTGAGATTGGGTTAGTCCGTTGGCTCAATACTGCATGTGTGCGATTACCGGGGGGGAGATGAGGGGAGGGGGGACGCGATATGGGTCGCGGGGTCAGACACCTACTCTTCATTGTGGAGAAGAGACATGGTTACAATCGCTGCAAGAAAAGAGATGAGTAGTAAGAGATAGAGTAGGCCTCGCCACAATCACGCAAGAACGACCATTTACGCCAGGAAGAGCGAAACCGCTGTCGGGATTCGAGTGGGCATGATCTCCGGGCTGATGCAACAAGGGGAAATGGATGGATGCGCTGAACTGGAGCACGTCGAAAAAGAAGTAGTAGGAAAAGAGAGCGACCGTGGGATGTAAATGCAGGACCAGCCTGATGGTAAGAAATGAGGGATAAGCAACGCAAAGGGACGAGGAAGAGCGTCCTGCGGCGATGAGGTTGTGTGGGGATCAAAAGCACTTGCAGGCTCAGCAGTCGCGGGCAGAAGATGGATGGCTTGGAGATCCCGTGGCCGATCTCCGCACCGCCGCCGCCCATGCCATTTTCCCGCTTGCCCTTATTGTTGAGACACACACACACCAACGTCTCCTTTGTCGGACCCAAGGGGTTAGTCCCCTTATCCTTGCACGGTTACTAGTCTATGCAAGGCAAATTAGCTACCGAGGGACATGCCTTAGTGTTGGATTCTCGTATTCTTTACAGTGTGCAACTCTTTGGTCCCGGCGATGGATAGATGCGGGGTACTACCCAGTATACGAAGCACACACACACTCTCTATCTCTCTCTCTATAATGAAGAAATCACAGTACACCCTTGGAATTCTATAATAAGGACTATTATATAATTGGAGTGGTTTATTCCAAGATAGTGCTATGTCAATCACACAAAAACAATAATCATCCACTGCTGATGGTGACATCGCTAGTAGCCCGCTCGTTATACTAACAGAATTGATAATACATGGACATAAACTGGAGGTGATGACTCCGTCGCTCTCCCAATTTCTAGATCATTTGGCCTTGGGTTTCCGGCCTCGAGCCTTCTTGGGTTTCTCTTCCTCGTCGTCGATGAAATCATCATCGCCTGCTGCTGCCTTCTTCGATTTCTTTCCTTTGGCTGCTCCGCCCTTCGCAGCCTTCTTGGGCACGCGAACATACTTGTCCTTCTTCAAGTCGAGCTCTTCGTTCTCGTCGTTGTCCTTTGAGTCGTCTTCGAGCACCTCTTCCTCATCCGACTCCTCAAGGGCATCTTCGATGTCAGGCTTCTCCTTCGGCATCTTCTTCGGAGCAGCAATACTGCTGGCCTTGATGAAGGGGAGGGGATGAGAGCGCTGGTTATAAATCCGTGTGAATGCTGCTTTCGTCTGTGTCTGCAGCTTCACATTGGATTCATCCATAGGTCCCAGCCCAAGTTCTACCAAGGCATCCCAGTCCTCGCGCGTAAGGAAATAGCTGTCCATGAAATCAATGACATCGTCGACACTATCCTTGCCTTCCACCATTAATCGGCGGACTAGCCTGTCCCAGAGGAGCGGCATATACTGTTGTCGAATCTCATCTCGATCACCAGATGCGCGAAGACGCATATGACCCTGAATTTCTTTGATGTAACGCCAAAGCTTGCCTATAATTGGCGTTAGCACTGCAAAATAGTATAGCCAACAGATCGCACAAACCTTGTTTACTGTTCTGTCCCAGCCAACTAGTAAATCCGGGCCGCTCCATCATGTTTCCGTAAGTAAAGCTGGCTGGCCGGACAAAACTGAACACGGCATGGGTAGGCATTAGACTCCATTGCTGCTGAGTACCATGAATCATCTTGTCAACGAGATCACCATCACTGATACTTGAAGCAGCATTGTCCATTAGTTCAAGCTGTTTCAGCTTCTGTTCTCTGCCATGATAGGCGCCAGTCAACGCCGGTCGTGTTTTCAGATAGTTCTCTTGAAGCATCAGAGGACTGAACTCGTGATCGTTGAAGTACAGTTCGATCTTATCATTCAACGTAGCCTTTGAGCTTGGCGAGAACATTTGCGCACTGAGGATCTTGCCGACAATATCCCAGGGCTTCAGAACGATGTGCTTTTCCCATGCTTTAGACATTTGCTTTCCCTTTTCGAAGTCTAGGTTTGTCTGGTCTAATTTCACGGTAGAAAGCATGTTGATAACTTGCCGGATGTCCGCGTTGGTGCCTTCAATCAGGCTGTCCAAGACCTGAGGCGGGATCCTCAAGCCCTCGCGGAAGCAGATGGTCGACAGTCGGGCTCTAATTTGCTCGGCCGTCGGCCGCCTGAACGGAAGTTCATATGTGACATGATCGAAAGGCTTCATTTTCGGGAGTCTTCGCTCATTACAGATCAAAATCAGCGGGATGTGAGTCTTCTTGGCGATGGAGGCGAGTGCTCCTACACCACCTCTATCACCGGCGGACATGCCGTCAACTTCATCCATGATGAGGACCAAGTTCTTCTTCGCACTTTCCACCTTCTTCCCAACACCCGAAAAGTAGCCTTGTAGCGAGGTCGTATCCAAAACACCGAGAAGGCCGTTTTCCACGAGCTTCTTGCTTCTTGTGTCACTCGCATTCGTCTCCACAACATCGTACCCTTCTAGCTTTGCCACCAGGTGTGCTGCTGTGGTCTTGCCAATTCCAGGCGGTCCGTGAATCATGACAGAGCGATACATTCCTGACCCATCCTTCCCTGGCTTGTTGAATCCAGCCTTGGCATTCTTGTGCCAGTCGCGAAGCCAGTTCTGTAGTTTCTCGACAACACCTTTGTTACCACAAATCATATTCATCGATGTCGGCGCATATTTGGTGGTCCACAGGCGGTCGTCAGTCTTCGTGCTTTGCGTCGTACTTTGCGAACTCGAAGGCGGTTGAGGTCCTGAGGGAGCCGTGTTGCGCGCAGCCGCCGCCTTGCGCTTCTCCTCGCGGTCGATCTCAGCGGCCATCGCGCGAATTTTTTCTTCTTCTGCTTTCTTTTTCGCCTCATGTTGCTCTGCCGCTTTCCCATCTCCACCATTGGCTGGAAGTCGACGGATAAGCTCGAAAAGCCCCTCCTCGTTGATTGTCTTTAGGTTGTGCTGCTTGATCGTTGCCAGCTTTTTAGGTCCGGCATCTGCTCCCAGGACGACATAGCTGGTTTTGGAACTAGGTGCCCCAGTGACTTTACCACCATACTTCTTCACCAAGTTTTGCCCTTCATCGCGGCCGAGCGTATCCAAGACACCAGTGAAAACGAAAGACAGCCCTGCAAGACAGTTTTCCGCTCCCTGTGGTATGTCGGCGCCCCCAGCTACTGGTGACCGCGAGCGCTGTGCGTGAGCAGCGAAGTTGAACTTGGCCTTTTCACCAGTCTCGCGCGGAGGAGAGGGTGGTCTGATCGTAGGTATGCTGTCAAATATATCCTGAATCTCCTTGCTTTCAGGTCGATCTGTTTTGGCAGATGCCCTTGGCTTCTTAGGTGTACGGGGAGCGGCTTTCGTCTCCGCAGCCTTCTTAGGACTAGATTTGGTGTCATAATCCTCGTCCTTCTCAAGAACTTCGGATTTGCGTTTACGCGCTGGTTGAGAGGCGGCTGACTTGGCAGCTCTGGAAGGTCGCTTGGGCAGGTCCTCCATAACCACATCCTCATCCGATTCAGCAGCTGCCTGCTTCTTTCGTCCCTGTCTTCCGGAGGCGGCACTGGCTGGCTTTACCGCAAGTTCCTCGAAATCACTGTCACTTTCTTTGTCCTCTTCCTCGACATAATCATCATCCCCCTTGCCTGGTTTCTTGTACTCTGTCGCATGGATGTCATCGTCACCGAGTTCATCGTCCTCAACAATTGTGGTAGCCTTTCGTGTGCCGCGTTGAGGTCTTGGTGCAGGTTTTTCGGTGCCCGTAGACTTTTTCGGTTTGGGGGACGGCTTCGCTTCAGGTTCTTCGGTGACAGCAGGCTGGGATGTCTTGGTCTCCTTAGCAGGCCTGCCTCTCTTCTTGCTAGATGCGAAATAGTCTGACGAAGTTGTGGGTTCACCCTTCGATACTTCTGGCTTTCTGAGTAATTGTCAGCAAACTACAGCGGGTAGAGTCGCATTAGGGCAGACATACGGCTTACTCGGAGCCTTCACCTTCGGGCTTGCGGTCTTGGTAGCGACAACGTCTTCCTCATCACTGTCGTCTACAACCTTTCTAGTCCCTGTACGCGCATCAATAAGATATTGCGGGACAATACTGATAACCAGTTCTCTTACTCTTTTTCCTCGTAGAAGGCTCCTAATTTGGTACCAACGTCAGTAAATTCATCGGCGATTCGCATGCAGTACGAAACGCTTATGCGCAATGGAGGATTCACATACCTCTTTCTTCGGCGCGGGCTTTGCGGGAGATGGGTTGGAGCCTTGACTAGACTTGCCGCCAAAAAAGCTCCGGATATCAGCAGGCATGGCGACAGATGATTAATAGAGCATGCCCCGGAGCGCAATGGTTGAGTAGGATATTTAAGCGACCCAGAAACGATGCTGACGCACACCCAACTAGCACAGCACAGGCAGCTTCCCAAGAAACACGACGCGCTGCCTGGAGCTCGCCGGCGGGAGACGTGACTTAATTGGCTTACCTAAGGGTGGCACGCGTGTGGCACGTGCGCAGCACTTTCTTCCCTTTCGGGAAGTGGAATCGGCGCTGGAGTGAAGCCGATGGCCTGAAAGTCAGTCTGCGGTCCGTCCATCATCCTTCCGGTCCCCCCCATTCAGTCCAAGCAGGGCCGATTGCCACGATTCACAATGGGTCCGCAGCTGAAGATGTTCTCGGGGCCTCAGATGGCCTTCCTCCGGCCGTCGTGTGAGATTCCCGCAAGCCTCCCCAAGAAAAGTTTTTTATATCCTGACTCCGATGCCGTACAGTAGGTCTGTCGACGCCATTCACGGCTTTCCCGCTATCGCGATGCTTCTCGACGACCTCGCCTGCCCTCGATTGGCTTACCCCTAAGTTCGCCGAGAGATCCAAGTCCCCGAAGGGTCGTCCGCATGTCGCAACTGGTGGTTCTTCCCGCGGTACCACTGTCGTCTGGGGTGATTATGGCTTGCGGATGAAGGACCACGACCGCCGGTTGCCCGCTGCGTCGTTGAAAATTGCAGAGGATACGATTAAGAGACGTCTGAGGGGTATGAACTACACATTGTACAAGCGCGTGAGCGCAAACATCGGTGTCTACACCAAGGGCAATGAACAGCGTATGGGTAAGGGTAAGGGAAAGTTCGACTACTGGACCGCGAAGGTTGGCGTGAGCAGAATCGTCTTTGAGCTCAAGGGTGATCTGCACGAAAAGGTCGCCAGGGAGGCCTTCCGTCTGGCCGGCCACAAGCTGCCCGGTATGTTAACTCTCACTTGATTATAAATCTTCAATTATCGACATACGGTGAACTAATGATACAACTGCGGCAGGCCTCTGGGAATTCGTGAAGAAGGGCGACCCGCCGGTCGTTGGACTGACGAAACTTGGCAATGGAGTGACTCTGGAGAGCCTCAAACGCGCACGCAGAAGCCCGGCCCTCGGTACTCAGGACCTACCGAACCCCCCGACCTCGACCTCGTCCTCCTCCAGTCCTTCTGCTCCCCAATAATTCAAAGCGCTTCCTCTCAACCAAACCTCTCACTCACGTCAATCCACCCCGGTTCACTCACAACGTCATGACATCTAAGCCCCGACGCCCGAACCAGGTCCATACCCTTGTTCTCTCCTGATTTTCGCCGCCAGCGCAGCACCCTCTTCTGGGGTTTCGGGCTTCAGGTCTTGTGTACATTATCATCATCCATCAGCTTCTAGACTCTCTATATCTGTCATGTTTTATTTATTTTTCTTTCCCGCTTTGTCGCAGGTGTCGATGTATTTTCATATGAATATGCGGAGTTAGGAAAAAGAGAAATATCAAACTATACTGTACCTACCTATATCTGTGATTCCCGTAAGACCCGTCGTACCCTCGCCCTTTTCCAGCTGTCGTGCTAGCGGAGTATCCCTGTACTGATCATCGTTTCCGTTTCGGTCGTCGTCGAGTGTTGTTCTCATCTCGCTGACGGTATGTTGGGAGTGTCCTGCGAGCAACTTAGTCGGTTGCTACATAACCATAGGATAAGATGAAGATAGTATAACATACCACCCAACTGCCCCGTCTGCTTCGCCGGTGTCTCCGTAAACAACCGGATAGATTCATACCTTACAACCGCCATTAGCATTGTCTTCAATTTAAGAAACAAATGTATTAGGCTAGACATACTGCGTATTCTCACCACCAGGCTCGATATCCATGAGATTAGTGCCAGACATTATTCAAAGTGGATGTTTAGTATGTGTGATATTTTATGAATAATTGATTTTTCTTGAAGGTAGCTAGATAGTTCACAAAGTCTTGAGAAGATGTTGGGGAGGGGATATGGTTGTGGTTGTGGTGGATCATCATCCATGGGATGATGACGTAGTCTATCTACTAGCCATCTAGACGATCAAGATGTCATCTCTACCAAGGTTCTGTGGAGAAGTTAACGCCCACTTCGTGTTTTGTTCCTGGCTGTTTTCGGTTGATCTTGATGCTTGGTCACATGTCGTTGGCTTGGGTTTGGGGGATACGAGGGTGTACTAGTTGTTGGTTGGTGGTTGGTGGTTGGCTTGGTATAGTACTTTGCTTGTGCTTAGTTGGGTGTTGTTGATTCGCTTGCTGTTAGCTGGGACCAGGGTTTCAGTGTGTATTCGTTTAATGCAAGATATTTCTAAATTTGATGGCTTCTAAGAGATACAGGAGTAATGCATGCTAGAAATACTGAGGTGGGTTTCAGCTACGAGTCCCACAGTGGCCCGGATCAGATAAGACATCCCGGTAGTGTACAATGAAGTCATTAAGAATTGTTGGGTATTATTATCTTCGTGATTTTTAAAATTCCATGCCCATAAGATAACTGTGCCCGGGTTAGCGAATAAATTGAGCTGTTTCGGGGTATTGGGGGGTAGTCGAACCTTTCGTATATGCGCATGAACTTGGCAACAAATGCTTCGAGGTGGAAGATTACTTTCTGCGGAGGAAATTAGCCGTGTATCCTCGACATTCATGCAGCAAGTGAGAGCTCTTACGCTGCCTTGAGTGATCCTGTGCTCATAGAATGCCGACCACCTGATGACATCAGGCTTTAGAGCATCGTCGACCTTTGTGATCAGGTTAAATGTCAACGACTAGATCCCAGTTAGCACATTTGTTCCAGTCACCTAAAACGTACTCATCGAACCTTGATAATAGTAGTCGGTGGTATGCAATGCGTCAAAAGGTCGTATAAGCGTGCGCGGACTTGCAGCAGACGAGCTGGCGATCGCTCAGCCAGGATCTCCTCGGCTGTCAACGCAATCAAAGCTTCCCAGTCGGGTGGTGGGATGAGCGTGTTATCCGTAACTTTCTCACTAGAAACAGAAGCAGATCACGTTAGCTCTGGCACCCCAATAGATAACCAATCGAGGACGTACTTCTGAGCATAGATAGCCTCAAACATAAGAAGCGCGCGACGAAGATTCCGCCCGCTCTCCTTAGCAATCCTCTTATTTAACCCACTTGCCTCAGGCCATCCTTCCTTTTTAGCCGCGTTCCTCAGTACAGTGCAGATTTCCTCTTCATTCGGAGCAGCAACCCTGACCAGCAGGGTACGGGACCGGATAGGAGCGATAATATTCGAGGTGCTATTGGCCAACAGAATCAACCTCAAGTTGGGACTGTACTTTTCCATCGTTCGTCTCAGCGCCGCCTGCGCATCACGAGTAAGATGATCGGCCTCGTTGATCACAACGACCTTGAATCGCTGCTTCGCCGAGAGATCGACCTGCTGGGTCTGCGCAATCTCCTTCAACAGCTCTTGCACAACAACACGATCATAGTTTCCAACATCCGACGGGGTGATCTCCAAGTGATAGACCGAAGACACTATATTGAACTCGAGCTTGCGGTTGCTTGTCGTTTGAAAGACTCTAGCGTCGATCTTGATCTTTTCAACTCCGGAACCGTACAATTCTTTGAGCGTCGCGATGGTTCGTGTCTTTTTGCCGGCGCCTGAGGGTCCGTACATGAGCAGATGGGGGAAGTCGCCGCTTTGCGCCTAGAATCAGACATCGTTGTGAGGATTGTACTCGAGATGGATAGTATGAGCTTGAATTGCCTTACCAATGATTTCAGTCGCGCGGACAGCTCGGGGTGATATGTGAGGGCATCTAGCGACCGCGGCCGCAGTTTGTCGACTAGCAAGGCCATTGTTGCAATTGAGTGTGCAGTTCAATAGTAAAGGCTTTTAGGTCTTCACTCAGCAGTATGCTTTCCCTTCAAAACCGATAGATAGCTTAGGCCGAGCGCAGACGCGTCGGGCGTGACACGCGAGCTTAATTGGCGGTCCGTGCGCTATGCTGACTATGCAGCGGATTCACCAATCACGTTCGGTCATGCAAAATCATTGCAGGTCTACAATCGAGACGGTCAAGTACGTAGTAGCCAGAGAAACACTATAAAATCACTGTCTACATTGAGGTGATAGATGTATAATAATGATTCCTTTATATTTCACGTTTGAACGCCTGAATACTATACATGATATGGCACCCCGCCCATTCCATACGAAAAGCTTCAGTAGTTCTCTGTATGTACATGCTCTATCTATGATACAAAGATGGTCAGTGGGGTGCTTGGGACCATCAGGTTCAGGTTTTTATAATTGACCCATGCAAGAGGAGAGATGGGTCTTCCGAATTTGCTTGGAGGGTCACATCGGAGCGAGCCAGGTCTCTGGGACATTCCGCTGGATGTCACAAGGCCAGGGTGATTCCGGGTATATACGTTCCAAAAGCATTTTACTGCGAGTCTGTTGTCGTAGAGAGTCTAATCGCTTGGCTCCTGGTATGTAGTACATAACAATCAGTCATGCCATTAGCTCGACGGCAATGGCTTCAAGACACCATTGTCATCATATCGCGCCTCTGTTTCACATTGATTAGCCACATGATATTTCATCATTGGTTTGATCTGGAGACTTACTGAAGAAGGTATACGAGAGCGTAATTGTGTCAATGCCCTTCATTGCCGGATCATTGGCAAAGTCAGGGTCGATGAAGAAGAACACCGGCATGTCAACCGACTCTCCAGCATTCAGCTTCTGCTCGTCGAAGCAAAAGCATTGAATCTTGCTGAAGTAGGGAGCAACCTGTCCGGGAGTGACACTATACGTCGCTACACCAATGATATCCGTTGGGCCCTTGTTTGTCGCTGTGAAAAATGCAAGTGCTGTCTCGCCCGGAAGAACTCGAACTTCACGTTGTTGCGGTGTAAACTTCCATGGTAAAACATCCGAAACTGATCCATTAAACGTGATTCTCAAACGACGGGAGTCGGTGACCGGAGTGACGCGGGAAGAGGTATCGCCGTCACCTACACGGTGAGTAGCTACGGGTTGACCGTTCCAGCCGGTTTGTTGGCAGATCTGTATGAGTGAAGCCGTTAGCCTCTGCCGCAGACTAGAATTCAAGAGCAGGGTTGTCGAACCATTTTGTACAGAGGGACGGAGCCATAGGCAAGCGCAATGGTTCCAAGAATAAGACTGGCTGTATAGTACCTATGATCTATTAGACAGGAAACTACTGATGCCATTGCAATCCTTCAACATACATTGTCGACGCATTGCGCTTTTTCGACTGCGGCGTATTGAAGGGTGCGTTGATATTCTGCCGGAGACATGCATTGCGAGTGAAGAATCTCCTCCCAGAGTCAACACATCGTATATTTGTGATGCTGGCCGGGCGGAGGCCCGGGCCCGACCAAGGAAGCCGACCCCATGAGGAGATCGGGCGCGAGAACATCGTCAATGATTATATGCGCTGCGGGGAGATATGGAGAGATGCCATCTAGAACTCCGATTGGGATAAGGTACCTGAAGCACGTGATATGATCAGGCAATGCTTTTCTGTCGGTTGTATTATACCGCCTCTAGTGCCGCCTTCCTTGTTCCGCGCGCCCGATGATAGCCGGGACTTGTCTGTTTTAGGAAATTCTATCCCAAACTACCAGATCAGCATCTCGTTCACCTTGCTAGGGCTATGAATTTAGTCTGTTTAGGAGATTTGGACGATTTAGGCACCTTGAATCTCATTGTGATTATTTGTATATAACATTGATGCTTGGCTGTAAGAGAACTGACTAGCAAACAAACGTGAACATCTGCGATACTGTAGCCAGGCTCGGTAATATATACCTTTAGGGCAAATAGTGGTAGGTACTTAGTAGTAGCTTGCGACAAATTTAAGATGAAATATATCATGATGATGTGACTACATGCCTTCTGCTCAAATTAAAGCACTTCTAGGTGCACTAAAGTACGCAGTACTCTAAGTACCATCACAAGATATTTCAAACTCAGAAAAAGCTTGTTGAACATCCTGGATGCAGGAAAATCCGATAAAGAGATACGCCGAGTTTTGGCTCTATCAGAAACCCCTTTATCTTGCCAATGTAGAATTAAGGAAGGTTGATCTCCCCCTAGGATAAGATTAACTCTAAAACATTTGTCTTCTGTTTCAGATGAGCTTCTAGACACTCTAAAAATCTGAAGAGATCGTCAAGTTTCTATTCTTGGGCTCTCCCAAATTTAGAGTGCCGGTTTCCCAATAACGGGCATCTATGGTGGGCCAGGAGAGAAAATTGAGATCAGATAATCTTATCGGGGCGGGATTTTGCGCTTGACCAAGATGGCGATTCTTCGCCTATGGCTTTGTTCGAGAGAGAAACACTTACAGACCTGGCTAGATTGCTTGCTTTTGTTCATTCGATTCTGGACGAACAATGATGGCATAATAATACATATCAAAACCCCTAATGATACCCTCTGTAGTTACAGTGAGAGTGACGAAAGAAACAACAATAAGTCTATACATGTAAAGGTCCGGTCGCAAACGCCATTCGCTCAGCGCAATCACGCCAGCACGCTTCTACCAATCCGACCAAATACACCCCGAACCATATCAGGCCTCTCTTGGAGACAAGTCAGGAGAATGGCGGCGCTGATAGAGAATGCTATACGTTCCCGGTGTTGATACTAGATAAGCCACAACGGTTAGAAAGTGGTACAATGTTCGACGAAGCTAGAATGGGATGGCGCAGAGAGCGGCAAGACGAGTGTGACAACTCCCAAGCTCTGCAACCACTGGGTGATAAAACAGTATTTGAGCTCACCTGTTTCTCGTAATATCTTGGCAGAACAGTTGCGACAGCCCTGGGAGCCACAAACAGTGATATCTCCTGTCGCTTCCGTGCGTTCTCCACGAGTATGCTCCAACCGCACATCAGGCATCCGGCGCCGACGCAGAGCCCAGAGTCCCACATCATTGGAGTTACTGTTCCACGGTGAAATACTTTGGGGCCAATCCTTGTTCTTGCAAGACAGACA